ACTATGGCTTGTAGTGCGTAGTGCTACTTCATAGTGCTAGTGCCCTATTTAGCATGCCAACCGTAGTGTTCCATGTCGCACTATAGTAGGCACTACGGCTTGTAGTGCGTAGTGCTACTTCGTAGTTCGTAGTGCTAGTGCCCTATTTAGCATACGGGCCGGTGACGTGGTGAAGCAACCCACGATGGAAGCAGGCACGTCGTGCTGCCAATCTCTAGTCACAATTAGAACAATGCAAAGGCTCCGGAGGTTAACTGGTCAGGGAAACCTCGCAGGCCCACCGGCGTACCTTAAATAAAAGGGACAGTCAGCATCAGGATACAGGTGCTGCCGCGCTAGGGAGTAAAAGCGAGCAGACTGTTGGGGTGCTGACAAAATATAGACTAATAGAAAAACATGACTGGCTAGCGAAATGACTAGCTGGTAAACGGAAACCATTCAGTCATACCTTGAGGCTAACAACGTACATCTAATTCACATCCATAATTGCACCCCTACCTAAACCAATTAAACACAAGTTACACAATTTCAGTATAGTATGGCTAAGACAACAATTACAAAAATACAAGTATTAATTCACATGACGCAGCTTACCGGTACAAACCGCAGTACAGCAAAGCAACGCTGACTGGAAACGAAGAGAGTACAAGATGCGTGCGTCTTCAAGGCTCGACAAGCAGTGGCCTTCCAGGTTCCAGCGCGCTTGACCTAACGTGACAATTTTAGCGGGAAATCTAATATTTAGCGAGTTTTCCCTCACAGACGGATTTTCGCGTATTTACTTGGGCAACGTCGTTAGTTCTTTAAACATTTCGTTGCAGGTCTAATTGGAGGAAGTACGAATGCCATAAATGGACTTGATATTTATAATATAAATGGAAATGAAACAGGGCCTAAGATATACTATATAAAATATGAACTTCAAATAATATAGTGCAATAATTATAGATGGGACATACTAATGTTAGACCAAATAAATTTCCTCTTGAAATTTCTCTTTCCCCTCTTTTCATATTACCTGTAACACAAACTTGTCCACCCTTTTAGCCTCTACTCTAAGGTCGCTTCTACTTGACACGGTTTCTCTCTTCTCTCCTTGTGAAGAATTTGTGATGCGTGGCAACATGAAGAGGGAGTGCTATTTCCAAACGCAACATGAAGGAGAACTATTGTTTCAATACGCAACACTGAGGATTGTTTCGGCGTTTGATACGGATTGCGTTTGAAGTACTTACCCACTCAATGTTAATTTAATTTAGTTGTTTACTAACCTGTCTTCCCTTACTTTTCATGTATGGATTATCTGTGAAATACTTTTTAACAATTTAGTATTCTTAGCATGTATTAAATTTCGCTTATCTTTCTAGGCTTTCGAAATTAATAATTAATGTACGATAAGAATAAAATATTTAACAATTACAAGCTTCTGAAATGCAAACACATGTCACCAGACTATCCCTACAGGGCCATCCATTACTTACCAAACGATCAGTTGGGTATTGAAATTATCAACGAGGGAATTTTTTCTTGGCCTCATCTTCACGTGTGCCTGCTCCGTGATCAGCGCATCTGCCGAACATACTGAAATTCTGGGGCTGGGGCCCCAGGGTCCAGCAGGTAAGGCTATATTAGGTTGGGTCCAAGTTAGTTAAGGTTGGGTCCAGACTAGGTTGGGTCCAGACTAGGATATGTTGGGTCCATACTATGTTGGGTCTAATTTAAGTTAGGTTGGCACAGGTTGGATTGGGTCCAGGTTAGGTTGGATTTCGGTTAAAATAGGTTACATTAGGTTGGGTTGCGTCCATTGCCTCGACTGGGGATTAGATCCCTTGTTGCTGAATGAACTCAGGACCTCCTCCCACTTCGAGAACAATGCCCGTCGAAAGCCGAGGTGATAATGATACGTACAATCCAGCCGTTGGAATGCAGGAGGGAAAATCGCGACTTCTCCCAAAATACGTACTATGACACCCATAAGCGCCTCATCAGAAGGCCAAACAATAGATTACGAAAAGGCCGTTGCCGACATAACCTGAATGTTATGCAAAATACTGAAATTCTAGGGCGCGATTAAATCAGGGTACAATTTATCGGTTTAATTAGGATGCATTTTGTTTATGTTATGTGTGCATTTGATTGACCAAACGTGGACGTTTTGCATGGGCAACATTTTTGAACGATCGTATTAAAAAAATCAACCCATTATTGAATTTATCGACTTGCTTCCAATCCATGGTGCAACCAACAATCTATGGTACAAAGACAACCCACGTGACTTAATGGCGTAAATTTCACCACCCCATGCAGCCTGCAGGTAACCGACTAACCGAGGTCAGTGCGCGTAGTGATGTTGCTAAGGAAGGTTGTGTGCCGCGTGTGGACTCCTGCTAGCCAGTGGGTGCCGCAGTGTAGGAAGGCCACGACCATCGTGACCCACGCACGCATTGGCGTTCTAGGGGCACCCTTCGAGAAGGGGCAGGTGAGTGCTCCCCGGATTTGTATTTCAGGGAAAGCTGAACTTGTGTCGGTATTATCTTCGCTGACAAGACTAAGTTAGCTAGTCATCTCTTGAACTNCGCACTACCTTACCTGTCTTATGGTTGTATGTGTCCGGTGTCAATCAGGCGTATCATTATATTTATTATAATTATATTCTAAGATTAGATCATCTGTAATTGAGAAGTAATATTCACTAGACGTGGTAGAAATTTATGGTAAAGTTCTAGAGCTGAGTTAGCATGGACAACATCACGTGACACATCACGCGATCAAGACCTAAGTAGTGTTGTGGACTGAAGTCATAATTCTATAAAAGTGCTGGGAACCTAAGTTAGGTCCCTCAGTAACTGACAAGTACGCCGCCTTATACAATAATATATAAGTAGTATATTTTATACCTTTTAAGTGACACTTATAAGGACGGAGATATAGACACTTATAAGTGTCCCTTATTTACTTATCCCTCACACATTTAGTCAACGAATCCCTGTCCTCAGGTAGAAATATATAATCAGTGAGGTGACGCTTAATATAGCCTCCTGACATATGTGCCCATGCATTCGGCTACATCGTTCACGTGGAAGTAACATAAGCTCAGCCAAGTGTGTTGGTCGAGTGCCTCGGCGCGCAGTGCGTAGTGCAGAACAGGTTTTTTCGGCGTCGCGCAGACTAGTCCAGTTTTTTTTATGTGGCCTCCGCAGGCCGCCTGAGGACCGCACCTCGGGAGGCGATATTGCCACCACAGANACCACGGACAGTGATCCCTCACGAAGAGTCTGTACTCTGGCCGCGGCTCGGTTATTAAATGGGGGAATCCTTCACAGTCTCCCCCTTCTTTCGTTGTAATATGTCATTATTTTGGAGGTCTCTTACCACACTCACCATCTTGTCACCACACTCACCATCTTGTCACCATTTTTGTCGCCCCAGAAACACGCTGGTGTCGCCCAGGGGCCGTCGGCGCTGCGCAAGACAGGCTTCCTGAGCGCCCTGACTGAGCGAGGTGAGCACGTGACCTTGAACTACAGCTGCGCGAGAGCCCATGTTAAGCGAAATGAGCAAATAGCCAAGAAATCGCGCATCGCTTCTTGTTATTGTTGAACACGGGTGGTTATTGGCTTGAAAATTTACTGATTTAAATATTCATGGCCAAGCAATTCTCCAGATGACGTTAGTAGATCAAAATGCAGTATTAAAGAAGTAATTTTAATTTCTATGACTTGAAAATGAATGTCGTTACATCCTAAACGTCGTAAATAAATTAAAATTACTTCCTTAAACCTACATTTTGATCAACCAACGCCATATGAAGAATATTGTTCGACCCTGAAAAATAAAATTCATGAATTCTCCGACCCTTTACCACCGTTGTATATTGTATACATGCGTTTACCTTCCATTAAGTATCGTAAATTGTATATTGTAAACAATAAATTATTTATTGTAAACAATCTGGGCCAAACTACTCTTCTTCCCGGACTGCTGTTTCGCTAGGTGTTCGTTGTGAGGTCAGACGGTGGATGAAATGTTCTAATGTTCGACCGCCCAGGCTTAGATGTGCTGGATTATGGCGACGTGCGGGAGGACCTCAGCACCAGTACCAGCAGCACCACCAGCAGCAGCGGTGGTGGTGGTGGTGGTGGTGGTCAGTACAGCACAGGTCCTGAAGGAGAGAAGGACTTCTACCGCGTCCTCGAGTACAACAAGAAGCTGGCCGTCGCCGTGGCCGACGTCCTCCGTGATGACCGCTTGTGCGTCACGCTGGGGGGCGACCACACCATTGCTATCGGCACCATAGCGGGGCACGCGGCCTCCCTCGCCCCCCACCAGAAGGTGGGTGCTGCTCCCGCCCCCCACCAGAAGGTGGGGCTTTATACTGGCTGTCGGGTGTTGGTGATATCAGGCGCTGCAGGAGTTGCAGGTACAAGTGTACAGGTGCAGGTGTTACAAGTGCCGTTGTTGCAGGTGTCGGTGCTGTGGGTGGACGCTCACGCAGACATCAACACAGGTGCCTCCTCCCACACGTCCCACATGCACGGCATGGCCGCGGGCTTCCACATGGCAGAGCTGCAGCACAGCAACCTGCCCTGTGGCTTCCCGCAGTCGTCGTAAGTACCAACTATGTCGTAAGTACTCATGACCCCCGGAAGTACTTATTGCCACTGTAAGTACCTATGGCCATGGTAGGTACTATGTCGTAAGTACCTCCTTCCGTACTAAGTATCTACTATGTTGCAAGAACCCATTTCCGTTGTATATACGATGTCATAAGTCTGGCCAGATGTGGCAGTCAAGGCCATATCTTACAATTTAACTTTCTACAAGACATGTATTCAACATGTCTAGGCGTGCGCCGAGCATGTCCTGAGCAAGTCTAATGTGTAACGGACACTGGAATATGTTTATGTTGCAGATATGTTACTCCATGCACTGATTGTTCTCGTAAATTCGTCTCAATATGCAAATTAACAACGAACTACGCTCTGAATGCAGCCAGTATTTTATCTGTAGGGAAGTCTCTTAGGTCAATTTACTCATGCTCTTCGTATAATTATTGATAACGAAGTTCTTATTTTTATATGATTATAATTAAAACATTCCTAATTTCTTGCACCTTGTGCAGTCTGAATGTCGCCCAAATCGCCTACATCGGCCTTAGGGACGTCGACGTCGCAGAGGCGTGAGTGACGTGGTAATGCAGTGGTATTAGTATTAATAGTCTAAGAAGCAATTATCGTGGCGTCTGGATCAAACGAACTTCTAGGGCACGTTACACACAAGTTTAATAGCAAGTGAAAAATAAAAAGGCACGAGAAAGGATGAGAACGGATAAAAATGACTAAGCACAAAATTCATAGGACGTAGTTCTGTCTTTAGGCGAGTAGTAGTTCTGTCTTTAGGCGACGACGAAACACCTGCAACGAAGTAGCCGATGTTAGGAAAGACGGCAGACTGTTCCAGGTTCTGGCGGCGGCGACCGGGAACGCTCTGTCGCCGACGGTAGATAGACGTGTAGATGTCGCCGACGGTAGAAGTTCCTCGAGGTTTGGCTTCGAGAGGCAGCGGCTGACGCTACGTATTCGTCGCAGATGGCCAAAACAAGCGGTGGTGACTTTGACAATGTGATTGTTCATAGAAATTCCCGAGTCCAGCTGAATGCTGAGGTTCTCAACCGAAGACGGCGGTGTGCCGAACTCGTTGCCCACGCGAACAGGGCTGGCCGGAAGCTGATCACGGCCGGAAGTCGCAAACCAAATGAAGTCGGATTTTGATGCGTTGAGCTGAAGCCGGTTGGAAGGCATCCCGTCTGAGACGGCGTGCAGGCAATTAGAGTTCCGGTCCTGCAACGCTGCAGCGTCAGCCGGCGCACAGTAGTCATAAATTTGGATGTCGTCGGTGAACATATGCGGATTCAAACTATATGAATCGATCGTGCACAACACGCCGACAGTACATAACAAGAAGAGGATCGCACCGAGGACTGATCCCTGTGGTGTGCCGCAAGTGACCAAAGATGTCATAGCAGAAGAGTAGCTGCGTCGAACGCATTGAAATCATTTGCTAAGATATAACTCGAACCATCGCAGGCCGAATGATACGTCAAGTCGACGCAATAAAGTTGTGTGGTCGACCATGTTAAATGTGGCCTACATCAGGTCCAGTTCGAGACCCGCAATAAGCTGTGAAAGTTCTGCGATGTCCAGAAGTAGTGCAGTTTTAGTGGTAGTGCAGTTGTGTGTAGATACAAGGTAGCGATAGTAGAACAGAATATAGTGGTGTCAGCGTTATTAGGCCATTAGGCCTGTCGCCCATTCTGAACATCGCATAATTTTCTCAGCTTGTTGTGGATCTCGAACACGCAACTCCCTGCTCCAATTTTACTTTGCTAAACCGCCCAGCCATTTCGCCGATTTTTACAACAACTGTCGCAGTTAGCTGGGATCACACCTAAAAATCACTGCTCCAAACTTGGTTATCAGAACTGCGCCACCCAGGGAAAGGGAAATTGTTCGTGTCACGACGCCCTCTAGTGTTGCTCTGTATTTCAATTTCGCCTCATCACCTTGCCGACTTGGTCTTCGACGGTTACTCAAAACCTCATAAACTCGGTACTATATGGTTTCACTCGCCTGTTACGATTGCTATAGATATCTAAAGTATGTGATAGTTGATATAGTTAATACTGACATCAAATATGCATGTATACTGTTACCTATGGCTATATCGCTCTGAGCTGCAGTTGTTTGTAATGTTGAAACTTGTTCCGTCTTCACGAGCGGCATCTGGCGTCATGTGCTAGATTAGGCACCAACATTTGTAAATTACCTGTTGATATGTGCTGTAATGATGAATATATTGACCCTTAATGGAAAAGACTCCGCATTTGAGCTTCCAATATCGTCTGGCCTTGTACCTTGTTTAGCCTTGTATTTTTTTCTAGCCTTATACCTTGTCTAGCCATGTACCTTGTCTAGCCTTGTATCTTGTCTAGCTTTGTACCTTGTCTAGCCTTGCACCTTGTCTAGCCTTGCACCTTGTCTAGCCTTGTACTTTGTCCAGCCTTGTACCTTGTCTAGCCTTGTACTTTGTCTAGCCTTGTACCTTGTCTAGCCCTGTACCTTGTCTAGCCTTGTACCTTGTCTAGCCTTGTACCTTGTCTAGCCTTGTACCTTGTCTAGCCTTGTACCTTGTCTAGCCTTGTACCTTGTCTAGCCTTGTACCTTGTCTAGCCTTGT